GGGAAAAAAAAGGGGGGGGGGGGGAAGAAAAAAAAAAAAAAAAAAAAAAAAAAGTGTTATAGTACCTGTTGATCAATATAGTCCTGAAGAATAGAAAACCAGGATTTCTTTATTGATGCTATACCATCACTGAAAGCTTCTTTGGGTCTCCAGAGTATTTCTTTGGGAAGCAAGTTGGAATCTTCAAAGGACTGTCTTAGAAGGTATTTTTCAATTCCATTCTGTTTCCAAAACAACAAACAATGTTGAGAGTCTCAAGAACTGCAGTACAAATATCTGGCTTTAAACACTTAAGAAATGGTTTCCTTTTAGAAGGTCTGGTCAGAAAAGGGTTCCCAGTAGTCTAACAATCCAGCACAACATTTAAAAGCATGCTTGACTTTGGGTAGAGGACTTAACCACGGAATTCAGCAATTTGGTTGTGCTTAGAACACGTATCAGTGAATTCATAAGCTTATACTTGGGTCCAGCCCTAGTTTTACATACCTTTGGGATTCGCATATCTGGTGGTAGAGATAAATAATAAGAAGTAAACCGATGATCCAAAAATGGGACTCTCAGTTCAAGACTAAACAGGGAAATAAATAGAAAAAGATACTGAATTAATGCAGTAAGTCATCTACTTACAAATTCCGTAACAGTTAAGCTTTCCCTGTCTTTAACATAAACACAAGGTTTTCTGCTTTTACTTAGAACAAATTTCACTTGCATGTTCATGACTATGTGCATTTAATTAATCAATTTGGAAAGTTAAGTATATAGTCAGCACAGATTAAACAACGATCTCGATGATTTACGATGCCATCTCCTGGACAGTTTCCAGTACAATGAATTTAAAGACTACAGTCCTGCAGGATCTGCAACAACCATTGTTCCCTGTAAGCAAAAACACATTGAAAAAAAACCCCTGCTTCCCCCACAGAACTACCAAGTTGCTCACTGGGATTTGCATCAGCATTTGTAAAGATGTCACAGAACCAAGCAAGGATTTCTGCTGTCATTCTGGAAATCCACATGTGTTTGTGTTTTCAAGAAACAACAAAAAAGAGCCCACTTGGACACCATTAAGCTATTGGCTACTGATCCTGTAGCATTTGCACAACAAGTTCTCGCCTACACTAGTGGCACATATACATGTACAAAGTCTTCCTGCTTACATTCTCTTATGCATGTAATGGCTTCTAAGGACAATGAAGGCAACAAATAAAATTACAGGAACTGTGTCTATGGTAGGAAGAAACCCTCTCAGTATGTTTCCTCAAAAGACATTATGCTGCCCAGCTTCAAAGTCAAATGGAATTGTTATACTGCATTCTAGTAATTTCATTGTCTCTCTAGCTTCTCCTCTGCTAAAAAGCTTCAACTATTTCAGGCAATACCTATCTTGCAAAAAAAAAAAAAAGCATCATCATACAGCAATCAAGTAATGAGGCTCAGTTTCCATATATACTGACAAGATTTGCATTGCAAGTCTTTCCCTGTGTTATTTTTTTCTACTTGATAACAGTACTCCCATCCTTTCTCCCATCATTTCCTCTCTGCTCTTAATTACTCTCCCTTTTCTCCATAAATCTGAACACCTTAAATTCAGTTTTAATTTATTAATACAATGGTTCTTTCTTCCTAGCAGTGCTGTGAAGCTGACCCCAGCTTCTCTTCAAGAATTGGCAACTCTCCAAAGAACAGTGGCCAGAGTGTGATATTAAACAACCTTGAATACGTGGGCAACCTTTTCAGCACAAAACAAATTATGAGGCAAATGGCAGGTCTCCTGCATGCTGTCCATCTTTTAGATAGAAAAGAGAAACATAAGGAGATTATAAAAACCTGGGTGAATTATTTTGTGGCAGGATCAATATACAACACAAGTTTCCTGATCAGTAAGTTGTTTGCTTTGCCAAAGGTACCACCTTTTTCTCATCTATAGCCAGCCTCCCAACAATATTCTCCTTTAAATTCATGTATTTCTTTAGTAAAATAACGCTATTTTCTACAGTGTACAACTCGGCGATTCTTTAAGGCATCAGTCACACAAACTGTATCCTAGCATCTCTATTACAGTCAGCTACCTGAGTCAATGCACATACTTTTCTCTTTCAGTATGCTTCTTAATTCTTCATATGCATGCTGATTATCAGATTCAAGATTCCTCTTTATCTAAACCTCAAAAAACCCAAACTCAAACACAACTCTGCCTTCCTTCCTTAACTGTGCATTATTGATAATTCACTGCTTCTATAAAGATGAGTACAACCCCAGACAAAAGGCATTTCCTGCACCAGTTGGCAACACAGTGGGCTCTACAATCACAGAAGACTGGATCAGATTTTTGCAGTGTGATTTGCTGTTGCTCAAATTCCTTCAGGCTACAACTTCAATTCTAAAATCATAGTCATTTAGGTTGGAAAAGACCTTTAAGATCATAGAGTCCCAACTGTAAACCTAACACTGCCAAGTCCACCACTAAACTGTGTTCCTAAGCACCATGACTACACATCTAATTAAATACCTCCCGGGACAGGGGGACTGAACCACTTCCCTGGGCTGCCTGTTCCAGTGCTTGATAACCTTTTCAGTGAATAATTTTTTCCTAATATCCAATTTGAACCTCCCCTGGCACAACTTGAGGCCGTTACCTTTCGTCCTATCGCTTGTTACTTGGGAGAAGAGACCGACTCCCACCTCGCTACATCCTCCTTTCAGGTAGCTATAGAGAGCGACAATGTCTCTCCTCAGCCTCCTTTTCTCCAGGCTAAACAACCCCAGTTCCCTCAGCCGCTCCTCATAAGACTTGTGCTCCAGACCCTTCACCAGCTTCATTGCTCTTCTTTGGACATGTTCCAGCAATGCAACATCTTTCTTGTAGTGAGGGGCCCAAAACTGAACACAGATTCAGGCCTCTGAGTGTGGCCTCATTAGTGCCAAGTACAGGGGGACAATTGCCTCCCTAGTCCTGCTGGCCATGCTATTTCTGGCACAGTCAACATGGGTTCATGAAGAGAAAGTCCTGTTTAACTGCTGTGATAGCCTTCAACAATAAGGTCACCTGCCTAGTGGATGAAGACAGTGCATGTAGTTTTTCTGGATTTTAGTAAGGGTTTTTTATACCATCTCTCACAGCACCCTTCTGGACAAGTTGTCCAACTGTGGGATGAGTGGGTTCACGGTGCGCTGGGTGAAGAATTGGCTGAAGGGCAGAGCTCAAAGGGTTGTAGTGAACGGGGCTACATCTGGCTGGCAACTGGTCAGCAGCAGTGTTCCTCAGGGTTCAATTCTAGGGCCAGTTCTGTTCAATGTATTTATCAACAATCTGGATGCAGAAATTGAATGCACCACTAGCAAAGTTTCTGATGATTCCAAACTAGGAGGTACTGTTGATTCTCTTGGGGGACAAGATCCCTTGCAGAGGGATCTAGTTAGATTGGAGCACTACACTATGATTAACAGAATGAAATTTAACAAGTCCAAATGCCAGATTCTGCACCTGAGACGGAGTAATGCTGGGCACAAGCATAAACTGGGAGAGGAGTAGCCGGAGACAAGCCCTGCAGAGAGGAATCTGGGGGTGCTGGTTGACAGGAGGCTCAGCAGGACTCAGCAGTGAGCCTTAGCAGCCAAGAGGGCAAACCTCATCCTGGGGTGCATCAAACACAGCATAACCAGCCGGTTTTTAGTAGTGCGTCCAGAGGAGGGCAACAAAGCTGGTGAAAGGGCTGGAAGGAATGTCCTGTGAGGAGCAGCTAAGGACTTTGGGCTTGTCTAGTTTGGAGAAAAGGAGGCTGAGGGGCGACCTTGTTGCTCTCTACAGCTTCCTGAGGAGGGGAAGGGGAGAGGGAGGGGCTGTTCTCTTCTCCCTGGGATCCAGTGACAGAACCCACGGGAATGGTTCAAAGCTGTGCCGGGGGGGGGTTTGGACTGTATATTAGGAAGCATTTATTTACCAAGAGGGTGGTCAAACACTAGGAACAGGCTTCCTAGAGAGGGGGTTGATGCCCCAAGCCTGTCAGTGTTTAAGAGGCATTTAGACAATACCCTTAATAACATGCTTGAACTTGGTCAGCCCTGAAGTGGCCAAGTGGTTGGACTAGACGATCGCTGTAGGTCCCTTCCAATTGAAATAGTCTAGTCTAGTCTATTTTGATACAAGCCAGGATGCTATTGGTCTTCTTGGCCACCTGGGCACACCGCTGGCTCATACTCAGCTGACTGTTGATCAACACTCCCAGGTTCTTTTCCACTGGGCAGCTTTCCAGCCACTCTTCCCCAAGCCTGTAATGTTGCATGGTGTTGTTTTTACCCAACTAGTCTAGTCTATTTTGATACAAGCCAGGATGCTATTGGTCTTCTTGGCCGCCTGGGCACACCGCTGGCTCATACTCAGCTGACTGTTGATCAACACTCCCAGGTTCTTTTCCACTGGGCAGCTTTCCAGCCACTCTTCCCCAAGCCTGTAGTGTTGCATGGGGTTGTTGTGACCCAAGTGCAAGACCCGGCACTTGGCCTTGTTAAACGTAATACAATTGGCCTCAGCCCATCAATCCAGCCTGTCCAGATCCCTCTGCAGATCCTTCCTACCTTCAAGCAGATCAACACTCCTTCCCAACCTGGCGTTGTCTGCAAACTTACTGAGGGTTTACTCAATCCCCTCGCCCACATCATTGATAAAGATATTCAACAGAACTGGCCCCAATACTGAGCCCTGGGGAACACCACCTGAACATCTTTTAAATCACACAAGTCCTCAGCATCCAAGAAACTATGTTTTACCCATGTGCTGCAGTAGTTCTGTCTGCACGAAGTACATCAAACAGGTAGAGCTCCTTCAGAAGCCTTTCGCTCTCTTCTGCAGATTCTTCAGGAGATGGTGCCTGTAACCAGACATATGCATGTAGCACACAGACATAATACAGCCACACTGAGGGAACCATTACTCGCTGTCTGGTGTTTGAGTTATAATGATAACTGAGTGGTCTCAGAACTAGCAAACTCCACATACAAGAATTAACAGTCTCGGGAATTTTGAAGTTTAACAAAAGCTTTTTTTCAAGTGATTAAATTGAATCCCTTGGATTTTATGCCACCCCAGGAGAAAACCTCAGCAAATATACAGCTGTGACAACTCTCAACCTTCACACCTTGAAATCTCAGTAGAGATTTTCTGTTGAAGGGGAGAACAAGCAGCTCAAGGGCTTTCTGTATAGCGTATATATTCACCTTATGGAAATATATATATCCTTGTGTCAGCTCATCTGATCCTTCTCCTGAAAAAATGACCACACTGTCTGTTTTCTTCCGTATATATTTGGGACAAGATACATACCTTATAAAAAAAAAAAAAAAGTATAAAGTTATTAAAGTACAGCTACATGTATTATATACAGCTAGTACAGTTTTAAATTTAGCATTATAGAAGTTTTTCTCCTACACTACTTTCTTCTGTAGTGAACAACTGCAATACACTAAAATAACATCTCATTGTTATTCAAAGCCATCAATGGCCACACAAACTAAGTGCTGCAAATACCACTAAACTGTGTACTTATACTCAGCCCTCAAAATATCAGAAAAATGTGTGTGTCTGTGATCCTGGGAAAGCTGGAGGATTCCCGTGGGAACACACATAGGAGTTGCTCTGACTCAGATCAAAATTAAGCACATGATTAATTCCAGCTCAGCCCTGAACAAACCTTCTAGCTTTGGAGAACAAAACTATCAGCAAAAACTGCTGCTTAACTCTCTGCCAATGTGGGTTGAACTGGATGAAACTCTTTTTTCAACTTTTTTTTTTTTTTTTAAGAATTATTTATTAACCAGAATTATGCTTTCCCCTCATTACATATTTCCAAACAATGTGCTTTTATAACAGAAGTACTAGAGATCTAATGAAAAGGATCTAGTTCATTATTTCTCATACTAAGCTGCAAGCACAAAGAAAGATGACAGATGAAAAGTTGGCTTTGTTTTTTAAAGAAACACTTCCAATATTTCACATTGCAAAGTCCTATCTTCATTTACCAAATTCCATTCAGGGACCTGAGTTTTCAAAACCATGTTGCCAATTTGGATTATTAACTTTTTTACAATGTTTTAGGCTGGTGTAAGATTAACTGGGTAAAATGTCATAGCTGGCATTACACAGAAGGTCACGTTAGATTAGGGTTTTTCATTCTTATCAGACCAGCAACCATTTGTAAGAAGCTGCTGGTGACTTCCTTCATTTCTCTGAATCAAACATACATTATAGGAAGTCTACTTGGCTTGAGTACGCGTGTTACTCGAGGGTGACAAGAAATACTTCACTTTAGTATTAAAATTATGCAAGGAATAGGGTAATCATCATTGGTTTGCTATCGTAACATTCAGTACCTCAGATAACATGTAAATTTTCCCCCTTCCTCCAAGGTTCATATTTATCAGAGCAGAAAATCTTAGACCTATAGATCTAAGGTTTCTTCCTCATATGATTTGATTTTCATCCCTAAGCTTTGGGAACAACTCTTGACAACTGTTTTGTACAGTCAGTGACTTTGAAACTAGTAACTGTTTTTGCCCTAGTGTGGGATCACAGACAAGACCAGGGAGCAGAACTTGGGCATCCCAGTTCCCAGCTTCCGTGACAGCTAAAGGATCTAGTAGACGACTACGTGATTTTGCATAAAATTTTATTTGGGCGATATAAAGCAAAGGTTGCTATTAAAAAAATCTTACCAATTGAAGCTCTTACTGTTGTTATATCATAGGTTTCCAAGGAGAAGATAACCTCCTCTATTGCCTGAATTCCCTCTTCAGAATTAAATATTACTTCATGATGTTCACTGCCTATATGTGCTGCCACCTGTTTGTAAAAGGTCACAATAATGCATTGCTTTTCAATTAAAACATTTTTTAAACATACATTGTGTTTAAAACACATACACTGAGTGAAAACACCAGCTCCCTTCTGCCACAGTGAGAACTGTATGACATTAGGTCAAGAAAAAACGATACTGTAGCAGCCCCTCTGAAGTGCTGCAGTACATTGACCAGAGGGAATACAGTCTCCCTAATTCCAATGTTCAATCATGATTACAACAGACCATCCAGCTGCTTGCCCAAAGCATAACAGAATCTGTAGAGGCTCTAAATACCCCAGATATTTGCCACGAAGAGAAAAAGCAGCTCAAAAGCCATGACAGCCTGATACCTAAAGGGTACCCCAGAGGCCAAACAGTTTGTACAAGGCTTTTAAATATTGTAAGTTAATTGTCAGTTTACTGAAGAATTAACATACACACAGATGCCATAGCATAGGAACCATAGCATGGAGATCTACGCTAAACCCCAGAGGCAGAATTCAGACAATTGCAAAGTATCATCCTTTTGGTAACAACGCAATGGGAGTCTGTCATGAAAGTCTTCCAAATGCAAGAGAAAACAGGTAAGGCTCCACTGTCTCTTCTGTAAGATTTAACTAAGCAGCAAATGTTGTACCAAATGACCTACTGCAAACTGATTTACATCATTCGTAAGATTTAACTAAGCAGCAAATGTTGTACCACCAAATGACCTACTGCAAACTGATTTACATCATAGCAATATTCATTCAGTATTCCTATTAATACCATAACATGAAGTTAGCACCATTAATACACACTGCTTAGCATTCAGCCGCTTGGAACAAACTGAAAGCAACGCTCACTCTACCTTTCTGGCAGCCAGCAAGTCAGGGCTGTTTTCCATTCCAATTGCAAAGGTTTGCAATGGATAATTGATGTTGATTTCTTTCATCAGTTTCAGAAGAACAGCTGCAACCAAGCTGGAATCTAAGCCCCCTGCCAACAAAACAAATTATTTGGTTAGGTATTTGAAGTACCATGTGAATCCAAGGTACTTCTTGTACAAGTGCACATTTACCTCTGCTTAATGACAGAATCGGGCAAATTTAGGGAAATGTCTTCAGTAACAGTTGTCAGTACTTTTGGTGTCAGAAGCATTGGTGGAAACCTTTCTTTAAGAGACACAGATGTTCTGAAAACATTGTAGCACTACAGAACATGCTCCTTTCCAACTCTGCTATAATGGGATTTATTCTCCATTTCAAAACTGCTCTCTATCCTCTTCTTACCTATACATTTGATATTCTACTGACCAAACTATGTAAATTTTTTTTGGGGGGTTGCTGTTCGAATAAACCAGAATTAAGCAAAAGAACAGAACGTTTAGTGTAAGGATTCCACTCTTCCCCAATTATTTTTCAAAAGTGTGTTTCACACATTTTGAGTGGAATTAAATTTTTAAACATCACTTCAAAGTGAAAAGGGTCACTAGTGAGACGCTATTTTTTTTATTTCCTCCTCTTCTTTCTCAGAGGAGGACAGTGGAAGGATTTGAACAGTTTGGAAAACAAGCAAAAAATAAAACCAAGAGATGCACAAGGTGTCCAGATGTACTCTAAGGCTCCACCTTCTTATTCTCATGAGTTAGTTCTGCTAATCCTTGACTAGTTCTACTTGCTGCTGCCCTTTGAAGTACTGAGCAAAACACAGTGCCTGTTCTCCCACACCCGCCTGCAGTTCTGACAGGCATGAGGCAAAACCCTCTTCTCTTTGTTTCCTACATGTGGCTTTTCAGCGAGGTGCATTAGCATCCATTCCCATCCCACTCCTCTTTGTGGGCACGCTACCTCGTAAAGAAAAAAAACAACTCCTTCTGTAGAAATTACATGCCTATCTGAGAAAAGGAGAGCACAGAAATCAGTTGAGTGCTTAGGATGCGGGAATCAGGGAAATCAAAACCTGAATTTCTACTGTGAAGTTGCAGAACTCCCTCTGTGGTTGGAAACAAAAGGACTTCTCCAACTGTGATGCTCCAAGGATACTCAAAATTATGAAGCATTGAGATACTCTGGTATTATACCAGCATGGGCACTTAGTTTTGCCACTAATATATTCTGCACGTGCATCTGAGGAGCTGCTGATTGCCTTCTAATTTGAAAACTAAAATTTTTAGGCTTTGTACTGAGACTGGGATCTTCCAACTCTGTGTATCTCCCTGTTTCATTTACCTCCCTCCTACTTTTTATGATGCCACAGTAAGGAAATAGTCCCAATAGGATCTCCTAGTCAGTTCTTTCTCATTCAGATGCACATTTAATAGGGTTCATGATAAATGAGTGTAATTACTGATGTTCAAAGCCAACCCTATCGTGGGCTGCATCAAAAGCAGTGTTGCCAGCAGGTCGAGGGAGGTGATTCTGCCCCTCCACTCTGCTTTGGTGAGACCCCACCTGGAGCACTGCGTCCAGCTCTGTGGTCCTCAGCACAAGAAGGACGTGGAACTGTTGGAGCGGGTCCAGAGGAGGGCCACAAAAATGACCCAGGGGCTGGAGTACCTCTCCTATGAGGAAAGGCTGAGAGAGTTGGGGTTGTTCAGCCTGGAGAAGAGAAGGCTCTGGGGACACCTTATTGCAGCCTGTCAATATTTAAAGGGGGCTTATAAGAAAGATGGGGACCGACTTTTTAGTAAGGCCTGTTGCGATAGGACAAGGGGTAATGGTTTTAAACCAGAAGAGGGTAGATTTAGACTAGATATAAGGAAGAATTTTTTTATGATGGTGAAACACTGGTTGCCCAGAGAGGTGGTAGGTGCCCCATCCCTGGAAACATTAGAGGTCAGGTCACTTCAGGTACATCACAGCAGAAGAGCCAGCATACTTTTCTCTAACTGGTAGATAATGGGCAAAAGAAAGAGAAGACACAAGAATTCTGATTCTTGCTACTTACCTGACAAAAGACAACCAATCCTTCTGTGAGCCATCAAACGTTTTCTAACAGCATTTTCAAACAGAGTACGGATGTTGCTTTTCACTGTTTCAAGATCAAAGCCTGTCCAGAAGAGGGGAAAAAAAACCCCAAAAACCCAAAACAAACAAGTGTTACTTAGACTTTGCTGGATTCTGCAATTAAGAAAACAAAATTATTTGTCTGAATTTCCTTTGATAATGAGGGTATGCAAGTTCAAATATTTTTGTACATGACTGCCTACAAAAACATTGTAAAGATCCTTCCACGATTTTTTTAAATGGCACTTTTAAAAATGAATCAATACAAATTTTAGATTCAAAGATTATATTTTTTTCACTTTTTAATCGGAGTAAGTAGCAAATGCTTTGGTGTACTACCTGAAGGCAGAGTTTCCACTGTATCATACGCAGCATGGAGTGGTTCATCTTTATAGCTATGAAATTTTACTAATTCCACTGATGCAACCTTGCCAGAGGGCTTTAAATCCAACACTTCATAATGACCTGGGAGAAATGGTTCCACTTTAGGACATAAGGATGCTGCATGCTTTAAGTTGGTAAGTCCTACAGACAAAACAGGAAAAAGAAAGAAAAAAGTCAGTTTTTAACCAAGGATGGTTAAGTTATACCTCACTCAACAGCCTCTGTACTAGAACCGTGTGCAAATATTTTCTCCAGATCCTAAATTTGGTATTAAAAAAATATCATTTTGAGTCTGAGTCTGCCCAGGCTGGAGCACGATTCTGCTTCTGGCAGGTTGCTCACACAGATCTGAGCCATCTCAAGCTGAGGCAGAGAAAGGAAGCCAGCAGGTTTTACTAATTGGTAAGTAGCAATTTATTCCTGTGAGCATTAAGAGCAGCACTTTTCTGACTGACTACATGATGTCCAGGTCAAGGTGTAATATGCTTATGAGAATTCAAATGGCAGTTAATTTTAAACACAAACCCAGTTATTAAGTGTAGCCACGCTAACAAGAGGTTTGTAATAAGACCTCATCACTGAAGTGATTGCCTAATTGGCATTGATTTAGTGATTTCATAACTCTTCGGTTCCAGACTGATCTACACCTCTGCTAATGAATGCCAAGAATCAGACTTGTAGCCAAACGTCCTTTCCACTCCTCTTGTGAACGGGGATGTTCTGCACCTGCTGGTCACCTGGATGACCCTCGAGGAACTCCACAAAAGAGATACGGAATTGCTGTTAGAGAGGGACTGCGAATTCACTGTGATGGTTATAGGAGACAGTCCCTAAAATATTTCACTTCCCTTCTTCCTTCCGAAGAAGCAGAGATGGTACAGCTTTTAGTACTAGCACTTAATACTACTATTAGAGGAGTCAACCTACATTTGGAGTCTGATAATAAAATTATTATACAGTAAATATAAGTAACCATGAAAGTCAATTTTAGCCAAAGTGCATTTTAGGCAATAAACACCCTTTTGGAACTGTTCAAACTTGTTTATGCAAGTGTCAAGACTAGAGAAAATTACTTAAAAAAACCCCACCAAAAAAAAAAAAAAAAAAAGGGGGTAGTGGATGTGTCATCTCAAAAGAAAAAAAATCCTCATAAAATAAAGTAAGTGTCACTAGAAAATTACCCAATGCTGCAGGAAGTTTCAGTAGGGTTTTAAATTCTTGGCTTTTACAGATTAGCAGTTCTCGCGGCATTATTTCCCAGTTCACCATAGAACACCAGGAACAAATTCTAATAAAATTTACTGTAGCATAAATCTAACCTAACTCTATAGACTACATTTAGCTTTCAGTAACATAAAACATCTTGGGCTATATACTGCTATGATTCCAGAATGCAAAGAATTATAAAATTAAATGAGCAAGTTATTTTAGAGATATTAAGGACAATTAAACATCTTAGAGGTTTACTGTCTGTGGGGTTTTTTTTTTAATTATGTGCAGTTCTTATACTACTAAATATAGTTTTTTTGCTTCACACTTAGAAGAAAAGCCTGATAAATCAGTTTGTCTCCAACAACAATAGCTAAGATTATTTAGGCACTAAACACAACTGGTTTTACCTTTTGCCTCAGAACAGACACCCAAAAATCCATCATCAGTCAGCACCTTAAACAGTGGTCTGACTCCATAGGTATCTCTCGCCAAAAACACTTTTCTGTTTGCGGTGTCCAGAAGGATGAAAGCAAATACACCATCCAGCATGGATGCTGTTTGTTCTATTCCTCCTCTGTTGTAAAGATGAAGGATAACCTCGCCATCCACCAACGTTTGATATTCAAATCCAAACTGCTTCTGCAGCTAAGAAAAAATATAAAGAAAAGCAGGAATAAGCACTTGCAAACATTTGACTGCTTATTAACTGAAAAAACAACAACATTCATGTAAATGTTTAATAAGGAAACAAAGTTTTTTTTGTAAAATCACAGTTCAAAAGTTACAGAAACATTTCCACCAAAGAAGGAAATTACACTTTTGCGTTGAAAATATCATCCAGGATCATCTCTCAGACAATGTAGATTGACCCTGCAGTCTTAGGCAATTCACTTTATGGCAAGTTTCCAGGGATACATTTCTATTTGAGGATGTCAAACTGCAAACCCATGACCCTGGTCTTCAGAAGCACTAGTCTCCCCATCTCCCCCAGACAAGTGGCAGAAGCAGGCAGCTGCTGCTTCTAAAAATTCAACTCAAAATAGGACCAGAAACAAAGACATCATTTTCTGTAGTCTCAAATCACTCGGTGCCACTTTCTTATCAGATAATAATGACATTTACCACTCCCCACCACCCCCCCATAGACACCGGTAACTTCTCTGCAGAGTAAAGTACTTCAGAAATAAACTTTGATTTACTTATGCAGTCACTACAATTCCTCAGTGTTTTTTTATGCAGAGAATTTCCTTCTGCCTAATCTTCCTCCTTTCCTCAAACTACCCTTTTCACTCTGCCTGTGCAGATGGAGTGGGGGAAGAAGAAATTAGCTGTCAGACTTAAGTCAGACCAAACATTCTTTGTGGTTTTGTGGTGCTACTCTTAAAGTCCTTTCAACATCTACGAGACAGGGGGCTTCAGTAGAATACTAAAAAGCCAAGAAACCCCACAAAACCAACATTTTAGCATTTTAACTTAAAATCTTTGGTTTTAATTGTTATTCATGGGGCAAAGTCTTGGATAAAATTGAGTCAATATTACAATAACTAAGTCATGGCTCTAAACAACATGCCTGTTTCACCAATGAACCTTTCCTAGGTAGGTTTCAGCCACAAGCCTGAAAAAAATAAGTATCTTTTATAAAGCAAGAGGGTACATCAGGTAGTGAGAACAACCAAACAAATTCCTGTTAATGCATAACTAAATTCCCCTTAGGATTGTGTGTGTAGCACAATTGAGACTAATTCTTACTGCTTTCAACAGCAGAAAAAATCACAATGCAAAACACAGCAAGTATCACAGACTGTTGGTACAATACACTTCACTTGGACTGCAGGGCAAAGTTTATCTCATGTTTCAAACAGCCAGATACTTAAAAGACTGGGGAAAAAAAAAAAATCTGCCTTATTCAGGCAAATTCCCAATGATGTTACTGATGTCACTGACATCACTCACAGTCACCAACTCTGACTTCAGAGATGTGATGCTGCAATTACTAAGACATCTCAGATTATTCATATATTTCTGATATTAGCATGCTCAGCTGAGGATTCATTTTAAGCATTCAGCTTCAGCATGACTCAGAAACAGTCACAACTGTAAGCTGCTTTATATGCCACATTTGGATGATATCGATGTGCTGGTTTTGGCTGGAACAGAGTTAATTTTCTTCACAGTAGCTAGTATGGGGCTATGTTTGGGAGTTGTGCTGAAAACAGTGTTGATAACACAGGGATGTTTTCGCCTGCCCATAGGGAAGCAGTGAATGAATTCCTTGTTTTGCTTTGCTTGCGTGCATGGCTTTACTTTACCTATTGAACTGTCTTTATCTCAAACGAGGAGTTTTATAATTTTTACTCTTCTGATTCTCTCCCCCATCCCACTGGGGTGCTGTGAGCCAGTGGCTGCCTGGTGTTTAGTTGCTGGCTGGAGTTAAACCATGATACCAAATGATTTCTCTTTACAAGTAACACGGGCGGCATGGACATTTCCGCACAGGAACTGAGGCACACAGAGGATGTTCAGCAGCAGGATCACACCCATCAGGGACATTCAGACACTTTAGGAAGTAAGTACAGACTTGCTGCTTGTTTTGTGCCCAAGAGACTTGCTTAGGTCTCTCAAAAACCCCACAAAGCATCTGCCTTAAGCTGCAGACACATAAGGACTTTGGTGGCATATGGCAACATCTCCCTAGTGCTTGTTGCTTTTACATAAATACATAAGCATGCATGCTATACATTAATAAGTGACATAACCCATCTAGATTAATATGCAGTAATAAAAATGCAATACCTGACAGCTTAGAGATGACCCCAAACAACTGAAGAGCAAGACTGTCTAAAAGCATTTGCGTTATAAAGAGAGAAGGGGAGAAAGATGCTTGCAATTCCCCTCCCCAAGAGATAATGAAAATGCATCTTTATTTTAAACTGATCAAACCTGAAGGTACGAATATTTATTGCTCTTGTCAATTAAAAAGTTATTTTTCTGTATTAAAGACTAAGTATGTTACTAAGCCACTACAGATTCACAGCTCATCAAGATAATGCACTTCCTTTTAAATACTGTCATTTGACAACTTTTAAAACTTTTTCTGATATTCTAGTCCACCAGGTTTTAAACATTTTCCAAATATCCACTGGTTTTGAAATTAAAAAAAAAAAAAAAAAAAGCTGCATGATCCATCCAACACTTACCTGTTTGAAATTGTAGATTTCTCCATTGTAACACAGCCACAGATACGGGAATTTCTTCACCCGGATAGGCTGCATGCCATATAACTGATCAACAATCGCAAGGCGGTGGAAACCAAAACAGCAGTTGGTGAACCCATTGACGTTCTCAAAGCGAAACGCATCGGGACCCCTGTGTGCTATCTTCATGGCACTCAGGCACTGGACAGAAAGGCATTCATCACTCCCAAACAGGGCCCAGATACCGCACATGGTGAGGCTGTTGATCTACCTGAAAGTGGAGAACCTGTTCAATAAAAACACGAACATTATAAGCAAGAGCTGACACCTAAAAAACACAGGTAACAAATGTAGACTACTAATCGCTTAACTGTCAAGAGGACTGATGAAGAGAACAGCAGACTTTACTAACATGAGGTAAAACCTGTTTTGCCCAGAATATGATAAGCAACCTTTGGCCAGAAAGAAACTGGGCATAAGTTTACCTTTAGTACACCAAGGTTGTCTATGATTTTTTTTTTTTTCTTTTATAGAACACAAATAGAAAAATCATTACTGAGCTTCGGGTGTGATCTGCTGAAGGAACATCATCTCAGCAGAAAGGGTAACAGCTCACTCAGCTTGCAGCCCTTCAGCATAAAAAGGGGGCTTGTAAGAAAGACAGAGGGAGGCCTTTTACCAAGGCCTGGTATGGAAAGGACAAAGGGCAATGGTTTCAAACCAACAGAGGGTAGGTTTAGATGGGACTTCCCTGGCACCATAGGTGGCCCAGATAAGAAAGGTGTGGAGGGATGAATGCTGGTGCAGTGCCGTGCTCCCCTTGGCATGCCTTTTGCAGGCAGAATGTCCCTGGAGCTCTAGGCTTTGTGGCTCCCTGAACCCCGCCCCTAACTAGTGGTAGAGGTGGGCTGAGGCTGGGGACCTCCAAGTGATGGCGCTGAGGACCTCCGCCTCAGCCCCAAGCTGCCGTTAGGGTCAGGGAGGCAGAAAGCCTGCGGCTCCGGGGACAGTGGGGCTGCCAAAAGCACGCGAATGAGCGCAGGGCACTGCACCAACGCCGCTGCCTCCACACCTTTCTCATCCGGGCGAGCGATGGCGCTGGGGAGCTCACCCTCAGCACATGGAGCCCGGATCTCCCCCTAGCCGGGGAGGCTTTCCATGTGCTCCGCGGTCTCCGGGGCTCCCGGAGCGCAGGCACCAGGGGCAGGTTCGCCCGGCGGACGCCC